GATATATGTTATTGTTTGAGGAGTGTCTGGAATCTACTCCTTATGTGGGGGGCTATGTCACACATCCACCAGCTGGAGTGCCCTTGATCTCCACCAGAGGGCACTCCTCACTACTCCCTTGCCATTCCATCACAAACTACATTTCCCATAAACCTTTGCCTGGACTTGTTGTGTGATTACATCCACCTGTGTGTCATTAACTTGTTTATGTCTGTGTATATAAGGTCTGTGCTTCAGGGGTCCGTTTCAATAAGGAGGTTCAACCAACTCTGAGGGGGCTTTTACACTGGGCTCGTTTGCTGCGGTCCGAGCCCGAGCGCGTTTGTTCCCGGGCAAACACGCTGATATGCGCAGTTGAGTGAACAATACAGGTTTACTGAGCGTGTGTCACATAAGGTGGCCTTCTGCTGCTTGCAAACGGACTCTTTTGAGGAGACAGTGGATTTCCAAATTTGTTGCCCAGATTCCACGCGCAATGCACGAATACAATGCAGGCTCACTCTCGCTCGTATCCAAGGTAAATCATCAACACTATCATCCCTTACAAGTAGGGATGGGGCCGATCCGATCCAGTATCGGTATCGGGACCGATACCAGCGTAATTCACGTATCGGATTTTCCCGATCCAACCTGCGGAGATATCCGATATCCATGAGCCATGTCTGCGCTTTAACGTTGTCTGCTGAAACGACTCCAAAAGTGATTCCCGCGGCCCGCCGGCTAGTCTGCTAGCTGGCTGCAAACTGTGGAATGGATTTCCTGAACGGAGGCACGGCTCAATGAGACACATATGCGCGTCTAAATGATCAAATGTAGCCTACACAAAAATGTCAAAATGACCGGCTTGGAGATTCACTTAAACAGTTTATGTCTAAAATGGACGTAGTTATGGAAATAGTTGGGAGAAAATATGGTGCATCAGTAGACTATTAGATCTGCACTCGTTCTTAAAGGGGAAGCAGTCTAATAAACATGCTGACGATTGCTCCATTACTGAGAATCAAACAACAAAAGGCAAAGAGAAAATCACTCGCAGCTCTTGAATGAATAACTTTAGCTTTAATAAGCATAAATCTATCTATGATAAACTTTGCAGTGCTGTTTTACTTTTGATTACTTTATTATAATTCTTTTTAGACCATACCTGAAAAATTCCAGACCTTCCTGAAATTAAAGCACTGTGTAGGCCTGTATAATGTGTATCTTTGTTTAATTTTCTATCTTTTGTTTATCTATTGTTTAATATATATATATATATATATACACTCACCGGCCACTTTATTAGGTACCCCATGCTAGTAACGGGTTGGACCCCCTTTTGCCTTCAGAACTGCCTCAATTCTTCGTGGCATAGATTCAACAAGGTGCTGGAAGCATTCCTCAGGGAGTTTGGTCCATATTGACATGATGGCATCACACAGTTGCCGCAGATTTGTCGGCTGCACATCCATGATGCGAATCTCCCGTTCCACCACATCCCAAAGATGCTCTATTGGGTTGAGATCTGGTGACTGTGGAGGCCATTTTAGTACAGTGAACTCATTGTCATGTTCAAGAAACCAATTTGAAATGATTAGAGCTTTGTGACATGGTGGAAGTAGCCATCAGAGGATGGGTACATGGTGGCCATAAAGGGATGGACATGGTCAGAAACAATGCTCAGGTAGGCCGTGGCATTTAAACGATGCCCAATTGGCACTAAGGGGCCTAAAGTGTGCCAGGAAAACATCCCCCACACCATTACACCACCACCACCAGCCTGCACAGTGGTAACAAGGCATGATGGTTCCATGTTCTCATTCTGTTTACGCCAAATTCTGACTCTAACATCTGAATGTCTCAACAGAAATCGAGACTCATCAGACCAGGCAACATTTTTCCAGTCTTCAACTGTTCAATTTTGGTGAGCTCTTGCAAATTGTAGCCTCTTTTTCCTATTTGTAGTGGAGATGAGTGGTACCCGGTGGAGTCTTCTGCTGTTGTAGCCCATCCGCCTCAAGGTTGTGCGTGTTGTGGCTTCACAAATGCTTTGCTGCATACCTCGGTTGTAACGAGTGGTTATTTCAGTCACTGTTGCCCTTCTATCAGCTCGAACCAGTCTGGCCATTCTCCTCTGACCTCTGGCATCAACAAGGCATTTCCGCCCACAGAACTGCCGCTCACTGGATGTTTTTTCTTTTTCGGACCATTCTCTGTAAACCCTAGAGATGGTTGTGCGTGAAAATCCCAGTAGATTAGCAGTTTCTGAAATACTCAGACCAGCCCTTCTGGCACCAACAATCATGCCACGTTCAAAGTCACTCAAATCAACTTTCTTCCCCATACTGATGCTTGGTTTGAACTGCAGGAGATTGTCTTGACCATGTCTACATGCCTAAATGCACTGAGTTGCCGCCATGTGATTGGCTGCTTAGAAATTAAGTGTTAACGAGCAGTTGGACAGGTGTACCTAATAAAGTGGCCGGTGAGTGTATATATATATATATATATATATTGACATACATGCATACATACGTACATATCATACTTGCCTGTAGAGAGGAGTTTATTTCAGCATCATATAAAATCAACAATAATAATATTAAATAATAATATTAAAGCAAACACAGCTCTGCTATCGGAAAAGTATCGGTATCGGCCGATATCCAAATTCAGGTATCGGGATCGGATCGGAAGTGAAAAAATGTGGATCGGTGCATCCCTACTTACAAGTGTTTTATTTAACTGAATACATCACAATAAGCTAATATGCATGCGCAGGTCACTTTACTTCCTGAACAAGTGCACACCCGAGTCCGTGCTGCTTTCACATTCACGCGAACCGCGGCACGGTTCGGGAGTAACCGAGCTCAGACCACCTCCTCCAGTTAGTCTCGGGTTCGGTACCCCAGTGCGCACCCGGGTCCCATGACAGCGTTCACATTAGCGATTTTTCATGCGAACCGTGCCCCGTTCGCCGTTCCGAACTAAACTGCCAGTGTGAAAAGCCCCCAAGTTAAAACTTGAACTGAGTTGACTTACCCTGAGATGGGAAACTCTGAATTGAGTTTGAGTTTGAACTCTGAGTAGACTGACTCTGAGTTAAGCTCGTGCACCACGACTATGAAATACCATGATCAATTGAGCTCGAAATTACGATTCACCATGGCAACAGCACCCGACAAAAAGACGTCCCCATACTTCAGAGTCAATATGTAAGTTTAATTCGTACTCGGTGTTATTATATCAGAGGTGAAAACTGAGAGAAATGTAAGTTATTTAACTAATATTCATTTTCATGGTATCTCACGGGCAAAAAAAGAAAAAAAGAAAAAGGCAGCAGCTAAAAATTAAGTATAAAAACATAATTAATTGCGTGAATTAATAATTCATCCACATGTGAATTAATAATTCATCCATATGTGTGATGAAAATATGTGCAAAGAATGTACTGCACTGCAAAAAAAGCTTAATTCTTAATTTCTTAAATCAAGATGCATTTTCAACATAAGAAATATGACATCAATTATTTAGTCTTGTTTCTTGGGGAAAAATAATAACTTTTTATTAGTGCATTTTATAGTGCATTTTTCTCATTTAGCAAATTATCTGCCAATGCGGTAAGAAAAATCATCTTGCTTCCTTTTGAATTAAGATTATTTTTCTTACCCCACTGGCAGATCATTTTACTCGTTTTAAGTTAAATGCATTTATTTAGATTCTGGCAGTAAATTATTCATAATTCATTGATTATCTCTACTACAAGCAGATAAACAAATAAAATACCTTTTAAAATCTTTTTAGATTTTAAAAGGTAAATTTTTTTAGATTTTTCATTTTTATGATGAAAATAATGGCTTTTCATGAACCCTCAGCAACCCCAAACCCTGGTTTGGGAAACCCTGATGTAATGTAACATTTAATGCACTTCATGTTGTTGATAACAAAGAATGGAATATATTTATCAATATGATACAAGAATATCCTATTTAAATCAATGATAAAGGTAATCTAAAAGAAGTAGTCTGATTATGTTACCATAAATGTGTGGACCAAAAATGTAATGTAATGGACTACGTTACTAACTAGAATTTTTGTCATATTTGGAATCAGTAACTGGCTACAATTTGTAATATATCTACCCAGCACTGCCTCTCTTTCAAAAACGGCTTGATTTACCCTGCTTTCTACCTGCTTTATACCTCTCCCATTCTAAAACCGAAAACCCAGAGTTTCCCTCATTTCAGGGTTAACATACTCAGAGATTTCACTTAATCTCCTTTCTGAAACGGGCCTCGGATGTTGATTGTCGTTCGTGGCTCCTGTATGTGTGCTCCTGTCAATTCTCTCCTGCCTTCTCTTTGTGGATCTTGTTCTTGGATTATTCCGCCTTTGTGTTTGTCTAATAAACTTGCATCTGGATTCTCTCTCTCTGCCTCCTCCCCACTCATCATTGAGAAGTTTGTTTTCATATTTTCTGTTTTTGTTTTAATTTTAGTTAAGTTTTAGTATTTTTGTTTTATATTTGTCATTTTTATTATTATTTTTAGATAGCCTATGTCTATAGTTTTACTCATTTTTATTTCAGTTTTAGTAGGTAGGCCTATTTTAGTTCCTCGCGTTAAATTAAATGAAAATTAGAAATGTTGCCTATAGTCAACTAGATTAATAAAACAAGTTTAAGTTTTATTCAAATATTTACTCAAGTTAAAGTTTATTTAGTATTCCATTACAAATTGTATTGACCATTTTGATTTTATTGTGACTTTAAGTGACAGAACAAAAATCCGATTTGTATCAAAAGATCAGATTTCTGCAGCATCGCAATGTAACAATGTCTCAATAAGGAATCTTGCAATTGTACTATACTATTGCTTGGATTGAACTCGGGTCATTGGACAGCAAATCCTCGGTAAACGGAGTTCTGTTGATTTTCGAGTCATGTGACTAGTGTCGTTTCAGCTCCACATTAGTTACAAGTTTAAACCTGTAGATAACTCAAATTTCAGTTCGACATCGGTGAACAGACAGTCAAGAACCGGCAAATTCATTTCATTTGACAGATCATTCACATAGCAAATTCTTCTTCATGCGGCGTCCTCATTGTGGACAGAAACAGACTGATGATGATTATCTGCGTTTACTGATTTTAATTTAGCATATTTTTCCTGGTATCAACGTCAATTAAACCGATTGAAAAACTAGCTACGTGCTATTTATGACCGTTTCTAGCCCTAAACAAAGTAGAGCTAGGCTAAATCTAAGCAATAATGGCATTGTATCTCCAAGATGCGCGTATCGGAAGTCTATTACTTGCTGTTAAGTTTTTAGCAGTGGTTTGCTGTTGCAGTGCTGTAACACCACAGCAACTTGCACCATTTTGCCTCCTCGTCAAATCTGAACACGGGAGTAATCAGGTTAGTTTTCTCACTCACTCACTGGACGCGTTAGCACCTCCGCTCTTTTACTGGAGCAAGTGGACATCAGAGACACGCGTTGAAGATTGCTTCAGGAGTAGCGACGGGACCCTGGTTACGCGTTATTTATCACTCTGCCGTGAAGAGCGCGCTTATGACAACGCCGAAAAGTTACCATTCCGCTTCAACATAAGTGCGCTATTGGAAGATGCCAGGCTGTGTGAAGTGAACTCGTCATATTTCAATTTCACTTTGCTCAAAGAAGACGTCAACCAAGGCCAGACGATGGATTCAGGAGCAAAAAGTCGCTATAAACGCGCATGGGTTTTACCGGGAACACTTTGGTGTGGACGAGGCACAAGCGCCAATGACTATGAACAGTTGGGTAGGTCTGCATCCATAATTTCCTATGCCTTCACTCTTAAAAATAAAGGTTATTATTGGCACACAAAAGTTCCATAAAGAACATTTGACGTCCATGTAACCTTTCCATTGCACAAAAGGTTATAGTGAATTATTAAAATATTCGTCACACTAAGAAAAAAGGGAAAAAGGGTTCTCTTTTTGTTAGGCTATAGGCCTATAATAAAAGCGTTTTTCAGTTCACTTATAAAAATTTTGTCTCTCAAACTTTAATAGGCGGTAGCCACATTCGTCTACAACAAATAAAACTCACTTAGACATGTGCACAATTACAGATTATGTGAGTTAATATCAAATACAAAGAGTTCTGTTGTTACAACCTAAACTACTGGGTTGAGTTGTAACACTTGTGTGCCAATAATAACCTTTATTCACTGGGGTAGATGTAACAAAAACTGGTAATAAGATCCATATTATCCAATTTATGGTATACATTTATTGAAGAACAATACTTAGTTTTGAATAAAGTGAACAATTTCTTTTAGGATTTAATTTAGCACAACTATTGCTGTGTGTGTGTGCGTGTACTGTATTCCTGTCACATAAGTGTTCAGTAACTAGCTTTCCATCCATCTATTTTTATGTAAACTGAAATATCACACAAAAAAACCCTGGACGGAAACGCCAAGATGCGCATAAATTCTAAAAATGTGCACAACAAACCTATGAGCTAAATTGAGGCAGATCATTTTTATCCTACAATGAAAACTACATCGGAAACACATTTACAACATATATTCCTTGATGCGCAACAAAAAACTCATGTGACTTTGCCTCAACAGAGGATTTGATTGATAACAGGAATTTTTCATGAACTTGCCCTATCCCTAGCCCAAACAGCCATAAAATGTGATATAACTGTTTTAACATGTGGGTTTGAAGTTAGCATGAATGCAAAGCATCAAATTAAACTAGAGAAATGGATACTTTAGGTTATGAAAATAATTGTATCAATGTCTTGATTAAAACAAAGTTAATTTCTTTCCTTTCTTTTTCTTTTTTTTGGTCATAAAATCTACAATGTTTCTCACAGTCACATACCACTTCTCCTGTGAACTCAAAAATGAGATGGGAGTGTATGATATTTATGCCATCAATACACATCTGTTTTCTGACCTGTCAAACAGTGTTAAATTGACACCGTCACCGTGTAATGAACTAATTTTGTTGTTCATATTACCGGTACAAAATTTAGCATCCATCAGTCTTTTAATCACAAAATCTTTGATCAATGATTTATGATAATGCTGCTGGAGCTGTTGAGTGTATCAAATATTCTGTAACACTATGCAAAGATGTATTCATGGTACAAAGGCCTTAGAGCAGGGGTGTCAAACTCAGTTCCTGGAGGGACACTACTGTTCTTCAGAGTTCAGATCCAACCCTAATTAAACACACCTGGACCAGCTAATCAAGGTCTTCAGGATTACTAGAAACCAGAGATACGGTGTGTCCCAATTCTAATACTATCCATCCTAAATAGTATTCGAAAATAGAATTAGTGCATCCCAAATCATTGTATGTTGAAATGAGTATTCCAAAGATACCCGGATGGTCTACTTTTTCTGGTTAGAATTCGAAGTGCACATCGATGCACACTCTAAAGGCTAATATTGCCCACAACCCATTGCGAGTTGGACAAGGATTCGATTAGAACTACAAACACGAATAAAAAGGGTTAAAAAAAAACGTCTCAGGTTACGACTGTAACCTTTGTTCCCTGAGAACAGGGAACTCAACAATACGTCATCGACGTTATGGGGAACGCCTCAGGCGTGACAGGTGTCTGAAATCACTATCAAATCACGTCAATCACATTGACCGGCGACAGCCCGTGAATCATTAGCGTGAATGATTAACGTGCGACCTGGAAGTATATAAGGGCGCCTTGCAAACATGACAAATCACCTTATCGTCTGAAGGGACTGTACGGCAGGCAAGCCCCGAGGCATGGCAGGGAGACGTATTGTCTCGTTCCCTGTTCTCAGGGAACAAAGGTTACAGTCGTAACCTGAGACGTTCCCTTTCGAAGGGAACTCAACAATACGTCATCGACGTTATGGGGAACGAAATACCCACTCCGCCATGCTGAGGGGAGTGCATGCCCTCAGGCAGTGACAACTGTCCGAACCAGCAAATTCAAATGAAATGCTAGAACCACTCATCGTCAGGTCACACTAGGCTGTCAGTGACAGCATTCCCTACAGTCATAGCCTAAGCTATAAGCCTCACAGGAAACCTCCATAAACATAGTTAAATGAAAGCCTACCTGGGCCTGCTCAAAGGCCTAGGACCACAACTTCAATTAGAAGGGGCCCCTTCTAGGGAATGTGGCTAGGGAATCCGAAGGAACCCCAGCCAGTCACTATTCAGGGGAACGTACTCACCCCGATATGCCACCAGGACGGCCTGACCTGGCGTCAGATACATAGACACTTAGTCTGGCCACTTCCTGTCTGTCCGAAGACAGAGCCTCTGGAAAAATGCCTTAAGTAAGGCATCCAACCCGAGGGACTGCGACGCTGGCAGTGAACCACTCGGCCCGGATCTCAGAGACGGGATATCCCGGAGAGTATGACTCAGCATAGTGCTTTATGACCCTTGCTAGCGAGGGGAGTTTCTCTACTCGATCCATGGATCAACCCAGTGTTTGCAAACACTGAGGAGGCCTGTGAAGGCCTAATGGCTGATCTAACCGGGAGGCCTCACGAGAGGCCTACGACCGTCTGACCAGACTCAGGAAGCCGCATGCTCATAGAGACCCTCAGTGAGGGGAGCACAAGGTCTGCCTGGTAGGCAAACCAGGCTGTAGGCAGGAAAGGTTCCAGGAGGGAACAAATAGCAGAGAATAAACACTTTAGCGAGCCAGGGCGCAAGCTCGCCCTCAGCAGCTGCCTATTAAGGCTAGCTGAAACTGATAGCAAGAGGCCACTAGCTTCATAAACCCAGCACCATTAGAGAAATATTACAGGGAGGCCCGGAGAGGCCTACTACCTGATAACCCCAGTATGTGGGGTGCTCCACCTTCAGGGAGGCCCGGAGAGGCCTACTACCTGATAACCACAGTATGTGGGGAGCTCACCTTCAGGGAGGCCTGGTGAGGCCTGCTACCTTACAACCACAGTATGTGGGGAGCTCACCTTCAGGGAGGCCTGGTGAGGCCTGCTACCTTACAACCACAGTATGTGGGGAGCTCACCTTCAGGGAGGCCTGGTGAGGCCTACTACCTGATTACTACAGTCTGTGGGAACTCACCTTCAGGGAGGCCTGGTAAGGCCTACTACCTGATAGCAACAGTATGTGGTCACCCACAGGGAGGCCTAGAGAGGCCTACTACCTGATAACCACAGTATGTGGGGAGCTCACCTTCAGGGAGGCCCGGTGAGGCCTGCTACCTTACAACCACAGTATGTGGGGAGCTCACCTTCAGGGAGGCCTGGTGAGGCCTACTACCTGATTGCTACAGTCTGTGGGAACTCACCTTCAGGGAGGCCTGGTAAGGCCTACTACCTGATAGCAACAGTATGTGGTCACCTACAGGGAGGCCTAGAGAGGCCTACTACCTGATAGCGATAGTACGTGGGGAACTCACCCTCAGGGAGGCCTGGTGAGGCCTGCTACCTGATAATCACAGCATGTGGGAACTCGTTTTCAGGGAGGCCTAGTGAGGCCTACTACCTGACAGCCATAATATCTGGGAGCTTTTTTCTGCTACCTGATAGTAAGCCAGGCTAGCTGTCCAGTTGCCCGTCCTTGGGCTTGTCTCTTCAGGGAGGCCTGGTGAGGCCTACTACCTGATAACCATCTTAAGTGGGAATTCACCTTCAGGGAGGCCTGAGGGGCCTACCACCTGATAGCAACTGGTAGCTGAGTCCGGGTGACAGTTCCAAGGTGGCCTGCTAAGGCCAGCCAGCTGGGGACTCGCCTATCAGGGAGGCCTGGTTGGGCCTACTAGCTGACAGCAAGTCAATTCTGCTACAAAGGAACACTGTTGGGAACCATACCACACCAATGGAACTATTGGGCCCACCTACAGGAGGCCTAGTACGGCTAGCTACCTGTAGCAGCTATAAAGTATGTCCCACAATGTTGGGACTCACCTCAGAGGAAGCCTGTTTAAGGCCTACTACCCACCTTAAACTGCCCTTAAACTGGTGAGTCAACTGCCCGAACCACCAAAGCCAACCATTTCTCTCGAGAAGTGGCCTACACCGCCCTATTGGGGGCTGCCCATACAAGGAGGCCTGCTGAGGCCTACTACCTGATGGCGCAGCCTTCGTTGGCAGATAAGCTGTTTACACAGCGCCTACAGCATCCTGGTGCCTAATCACATTGCCCACGGCAGTGTACTCAGCTAGAGTAGCTTAGCACCCTAAAAAACAAGGGGAGTACAACATACGCTATACTGTCTAAACGGAGGCCCCAGAAGTCAGGGGCCTACCATCTATGCATGGGCGTCAGCTCAGGGCAATGCTCTGGCTTCAGGGGAGCGAACCTCGACAAAGGAAGAAGTGAAGGCTTAATTCGTACTCGACCCGAGCCATAGTGGTGCGAGGTAGAAAAATACAGAACTGAGAGTGAAGTGCTCAGACCTACCCTGAGTCACAGGGGAATACTCACACCTCACCCTGAGGTTACCAGGGTGCGGGCCTGCCAGCGGCTCTAGGGGTGACAGAAATGTATCTGTGCCCAACCTAGGGGAGTGGGGGCTTCCTAAAAACCACCACCTAAAAACCCAGCACTCGAGCAGTAGCTCAGCGAGGTAAATAAGCCTATACTGGCGGTCTAATCCAAATGCCAGTTCTGCACGGCAGGGTCGGGCAGACAGACCGTCTTCTCAGTGAAGCGAAAGACGACCTAACCCTGCTCGAAAAAGATAGAAAAACCACGGAGGCCTGATTGAGGCCCACCATGACCTTATAAACCAACCTCTGCACCAAGCTGCATTACTCTAGTCGCCCC